AAAACGTCCTCGCCAAAACTGAGAGGAGAACGAGACGTGGGCTTCGGCGACGGCGCGCCGGTCGGCGTGCGCGCGTTTCTACCTTGCCGCTGAGAAACGCTGGCTTAAAGGCCAGCGCGTGAGGGACGTAGGCGGGGGGCTAAGAAAAAGGAAAGCCATCAACATCCGAGACGGGGCGGGCGTGAAGTCATCTGAGAGGAGTGAAGCATACGTGCGGCGCCGCGTCCTGCTCTTTGACGCAAAGTCGCTCCAGCTGAGCCGTGAGGTCGGCGGTCTCCAAACGCAGCTGCAAACGCCAACGTTCAACATCCAAACCCCCCCCCCCCCCACCCCTCCCCCTCTTACGTCATTCCTGGGCTCCAGTGAGCATCTGCGCCGCGCCGTTGACCAGCTCGCGTCACTTTCGTCCATCGTACGGACGACGTCGGGTGCCTCTGCTTGGGGGACGAGGGGGAGAAGAAAGAGGGAAAAAAAACAAAACAAAGGCCATCGGCGGTGACATCATCGCCATCTCCTGCAGGCATGACATCATTGCACGGACACAGTCGACACGGTCAGCCATCAGGGAAGGCGCGAGCGATGTGACGGTACCTCGTCGGTCGGCGCGTCTCCTCTCGGGCCCGTTCCCGGAAAACACGGCCTTCCACAGAGCCCCGGCCCCGCCTCCTCGCGCTCGCCAGAAGCGCGGGGCTCGGAGCCGTCGGCGGCGCTCTCTGGCTTCTTCTGGCCCCGCCCCCTCAACATGCTCCTCTCGCGGCGGGAGGCGGCCCGGAGACGGCCGAGCTTCTCCGGCTCCGGAGCTTTCCTTGCCGACGAGCGCCCGGGTGGGCGGGGCTTCGTTCTCAAGACGGGAGGGGGAGCAGGCGGAGGAGGCGGAGTCGACCTCGCTCACGAAGGAGGCGGTGGAGGGCGTGCCGAGGAGGGCCGGAGTCTCGCCCCAATCTGCCGAGACCGGCGCCCGCTTGAAGGATCGCCGCTGGCGACGAGCCAACGGCGGACTTGGGCGCTGACTGACCGTCACTGGATTCTTCCTCGCTGGCCGTCTCATCTTCCTCTTCGTCCGACTCACCGGCCATCGGCCGCAGGCGGCGACGTCGCGCTCTCTCCCAGGCCGCCTCGGTCGTCCGCGGGGCCCAAGTCTCGGCCTCCGTCTCGGACGGGGCCTCGGAACTGAATGCGGACGGACGGTCAGCTCGCGCCGGGACGTCCGAGCGCCGAAGTCGTCGCTCACCCGGAAGTGCGGTCATCGTTGTCTGTGCTGAGGTTGAAGCAGGTCAAGATCTCCTCCGAGATCTCCTCCACTGTCTCTTCGGCCTCCGCGTTGTCGTTCTCCAGGTCGATTCGCTCTCGCGTCACTGAAAATCCTGTTTGTGGGCACACGCACGTTCACATTGACGCACCCCGGCGGTGGGGGGGTTGCAAGCCGCGCCACGTGACGTCAGCTCACCTGACGAACGGCGACACTCTGTTGCCACGGAGACTGGAGAGTCTGCAGACGACAGCGGCGACGTCTGCAGACATCACAGACGAACAACATCATCGCCGTCGTCATCAACACGCCCCGCGGTGCCGGCCGGGATCGCCCATTCCTGTCGCCACGACAACAACAGCCCAACACAAACTTATTCATCATTTTGGTCCCCCCCCCCGCCCCCTTCAGGCTTCTGCACAGTTAAAACGCGGCCGCACAACCGGCACGGGCTGTCATTTGGGGTGGGCGGCTTGCGCGAGCCTTGAGCCTTGTCCAGCCGTTCCCATCGGGGACGTTCCTTCTTGAAGTCTGAGGTCAAGGCGCCGGCCAACGCGGCCGCTTACGCAAGAGGTCCGCCGGGCCGGCGTTGGGTCGCGCGCCGTCATCAACTGCTTTGTTGGTTTCTTTGCAGATGGACTGGCGCTCGTGGACGACTCGCAGTGGTGCGCACATGAAAACTTCCCTAAGAAAGAGGGGGGGGGGGAAACGTTGAGGAAACGGAGCCCGGTGCGCCATGCGCTCTTTCCACCTGCGCATTGAGCCACTCGTCAGGCTGCCAAACGGCTCTTGATGGAAAATCGACACATCGATACCGGCGGAAAGGGAGAGCCACCCTTGCCGTCGCGGTGTTCATGAAGCCACGCCGCCTGACCTCTGACCGTACGCCGCAAGCGCGCGCGCTTACCGCTGGCAGCGTGGAATCGGTAGGCGGCAATTCTGAGCGAGCCGCGACACGCGTGGCATACGAAGCAGCTCCGGTGGAAGAAAAGACCTTCGGCGCTCAGACGCTCCATGGCGTAAACTTTTTGGTGGCAGAAGAAACACACGTCGCTGACGCACGCCGTCTGGACGCACACACACGCACGCCTCTCGTTGAGCGCCGACGGACATTCCGGCGATGCTGCGAAAAGAGCGGCGTGTTCCTACAGGATCGTCGCCGTCGGCGACTTCCCGGTCGAAGCCAACGTCCCGGCGCCAGGCCGGCGTACGCCGACTCTGACGCCCCAAAAATGGAACAAAAGCGTGACAAAGGCAAACACGGACAGGCGGCAATCACGTTCGCAAAGAGGCGCGACCTCGGGAGGAGGAGAGCCGTGACGCAGCTTGGCCTGCAGCAGGAGGGCCACGGAACGCACTCGGGAGCCGGGGGCCTTTGCCATGACGCGGTCCGGCGCCGGGTCCCACGACTCAACGAGAAGAAACAAAAGTGTTGCCGTCACGCCCGCGGAGCGCAAACGCTAGGATGCTCTTTGGAGATGAGCCAGTCACCCGCCGCTGGTCTCGGCGCCGCCGTTCGCTGCGCGTCCTCTTCTTCTCCTGCGGAGCAAAGGTCGCACGGCTCGAAGGGGGTGGCGGGGGGGAATTCGTCGCTCCAAAAAGCTTCAAGACGCCGCCCGCATACCTTTGACCTTTGCCGACGCGACGGGCTGAGTCCGAGTCTGCTGAGGAGGGAGGCCGGGGTCACCAGGGCGGCTCTGACCTCCGAACTCTGGGACAGCGAACCTGAAGGCGACACGACACGCAAGCGCACTGGCCAACCGCGAGCAGCAAAGGAGATTCGTCAGCGACGCCGACTCGACTCTTTTCTGATGACGCCGACTCTCAAACCTGCTCGACTTTGTCGAAATGGCCTCAGCCCGCCGCCAAATATCCGCGGATGAAACGAGCGCGGGTGGTACGACCGCGCTTCTTACATCATTGACGTCGGGGGGTCTCACCCAAAGAGGGCGGGGCATCTCGGAGCACCTGGTAGAGCTGGCTGAGGTAGACGACCATGGACAGCGCGTCGGGTTCTCCCGCGGACGTCATCTCTTCCACCGTCATCAGGGGCGAAATTCCCAATTCTCGCTCGCACACGTCGAAGGCCAAGCGAACGTTTTCTTCCTCCGCCGCCGGGTCGAGGGAGTCGAAGTCTCTGGAGATGGACGAGGGCAAAAGCGCAAGATCGCAGGCCACCGTTGTTGCTTTTCATGCCTTTCGAATCCAGACGGTCAACTCCGGCGAGCGGCTCGCGGTTCTTTCGGCCGGACGGGGAAAGGAAATCGAAGCGCGTCGAGCCGAGCGACGGGTTTCCTTACAGCAGCTGGGGCCTGCAGCTGTGAAGCAGGGCGCACAGGGCCGCGCCGCTCTTCCACGACGCGGTCAGGTCGCTGACGGCGACGCCCCGGTAGCCCGCCGTCCGCTGGCGACACCACGCCAGGAGCTGGTTGGACTCGGACAGCGACTCTTTTGGGAGCGACGCGGCGGCGGTGACGCCGATGCGCTCGAAGGGGATCGAGCGGAGACCGCCGCGCTCGCCCGCCGTCCGCGCCGGCGCTTCGAGGGCGTCGGCCGTTTGCGTCTCCTCTCCCGTGTCGATCAAGTGTCTCACCTGGACGGGAAGCGGACGGCGTGGAGCCGCTTTACGCCTGGATGGATTTTCCGGATGCGGCGAGGCACAACGTGTACTTGGTCGGACGTGACGCTCGGACAGACGTTGACGTAGCGGCTGGACGGGTCCAAGGAGTACAGGGAAAGGTTTTTCTGCATGTTTTCCGGCGTGGTCTGAGCCAACAAACGGTACACGCTCTCTCTGGACACAGACGGACGGGCGGG